AAACAACATGATGGGGGTTTAAAATTTCAAGATTAATTTCTTCTGTTTCTATTTCTAACAAGTTATATTGAGAAATTTGTAGTGTGCTGAAGTAATTTGCATGTCTATTACTGGAAAGAATGTTTAATACTTAAGAATGCATATTTGTTAGGGATATTTGCTGCATGTTATCTGTTTCTTGATTACACGTAGAATAGCACATTAAAGTTTTTATGCTATTTTCATGTATTCCTTTGGTATTCCCAGCAACTCTGTGAGGCAGTTTATACATTAGCTACATTTTATTTATTTATTTATTTATTGTTTATTATTTTTTATCTTTATTGTTGAATGTATTACAGATGTTCCTCATTTTTTCCCCCATTGACCCCCTCCTCCCCATTCGCACCCCCCTCCTGCCTTTTCCCACACTGTTGTCTGTGTCCATTGGTTATGCATATAAGTTCTTTGGTTTATTTCTTCCCACCCCCAAGCCCTCTTCCCTTTGAGGTTTGTCAGTCTAGCAACCAATTTGTTCTTTTTAATTCCTTCACCTTTTTCACCCATTCCCCCAACCCCCCTCCCATCTGGCAACCAACACAATGTTCTCTGTATCTATGAGAATGTTTCTGTTCTGCCTGTTTATTTTGTTTGTAGATTCCATTGTCGCTAGATATGTATTCATTGCCATTTTGTTTGTTCATATATTTTATCTTTTTCTTCAAAAAGACCCTTCAACATTTCATATAATAGCGGTTTGGTGGTGATGAACTCCATTAGCGTTTTCTTGTCTGGGAAACTCTTTATATGGCCATCGATTCTAAATGACAGCTTTGCAGGCTAGAGTAATCTTGGTTGTAGGTTCTTGCTTTTCATCACTCTGAATATTTCTTGCCACTCTCTTCTGGCCTGCAAAGTTTCCTTTGAGAAATCAGCTGACAGTCTTATGGGAACTCCCTTGAAGGTAACTAACTGCTTTTCTCTTGCTGCTTTTAAGATTCTCTCTTTGTCTTGAACCTTTTGCATTTTGATGAGGATGTGTCTTGGTGTGGGCCTCTTGGGGTTCATCTTGTTTGGGACTCTCTGTGCTTCCTGGACTTGTATGTCTGTCTCCTTCACCAAGTTAGGGAGGTTTTTTGCCATTATTGTTTCAGATAGGTTTTTGATTTTTTGTTCTCTCTCTTTTTCTGGCACCTCCAAGATGTGAATGTTGGCACGCTTGAAGTTGTGCCAGAGGCTCCTCACACTATCCTCATTTTTTTCTTTTTGCTGTTCCGATTGGGTGTTTTTTGCTTCCTTATATTCCAAATTGATGGTTTGCTTTTTGGCTTTACGTACTCTACTATCGAATCTGTGTAAATTATTCTTTATGTCAGTTAATGCCTCCTTCATTTCTGACTGTGCATCCTTCATTTCTGACTGTTCCTTTTTATGCTCTTGAGGCCCTCACTAAGTTCCCTGAGGTTCCCACTAAGTTCATTGAGCATCCTTATAAGCAGTATTTTGAACTCAGCATCTGTTAGGTTGCTTATCTCCACTTCGCTTAGTTCTTTTCCTGGAATTTTGTTCTGTTCTTTCATTTGGGACCTGTTTCTTTGTCTCCTCATTTTGGCTGCTTCCCTGTGTTTGTTTCTGTGGATTACTGAACGAGAGGTATGGGGCTATCTGAGACCAGATGCTGCTTGTTTGAAAGAATTTAGGAAAACCTGAAGCAGGATCCAAGACAGGCCAATCCTGTGGTTAAGCAACTGGCAACAACTTGGGTGGCCTGAAAGTTGGGTGGGGCAGGGCCTCAGGGAGTCGCCAGGGCGGGGCAACCAGTATGAGCCAGGTTGCTGGAGTCCCAAATATAGCTGCTGTGTGCTGTCCCAGGAAAGGGCTCACTGAAGAAACAAGGCCTCTGACAGCAAGTCTGTCCCGGAGAAAGCCCCCTCTCCAGCCCTCGCTTTAATGCCAAACAGCTCAGTTCTTCCCTGTACGTCTCTGGCGCCCCTCGAGCTGCCTCCCCTCCAAGCTTAGAGGGAGTGAGTCCGATGAGTTCATGCGCGGGCCCTTTAAGAGGGGCTGCCTGGGGCTCTAGCCGCCTCAGCCTCCCTGAGCCTCAGTTCCCGCGGGTTTTTCCAGCCAGAAGTTATGGGGACTTCTCTTCCTGGCACTGGAATCCTGAGCAGGGTGCCTGGTGTGGGATGGGGACCCCTCAGTCCTCAGAGAGGACCTTCCCAGCCAAGGTGTCCTCCTGATTTTTATCCTCCACACGTGGGTGTGGGACCAGCCCCTTCCGCGTCTGCCCTCCTACCAGTCTGGATGTGGCTGCTGCTTTAATTCCGTAGTTGTAGGACTTCATTCAGCTGGATTTCAGGCGGTTTTGAATAATGGTTGTTCTGTAGTTTAGTTGTAACTTTGATGTGGTTGTGGGAGGACGCGATACCGCATTTACCTACACCACCATCTTGACCGGAAGTCAAGCTACATTTTAAAAAGAAAGACATTTGAATCTTAGATGAATTAACATATACATAGGCCACCCAGCAAGTAAATGGTTTTCATGTTCAGGTCCATATTCCATTAGAACCACCTACTGTTCCATTTGTATGCTTAATGTTCTAATCTGACAGCTTTGTATTCTATATTTTATATTTGTAAAAGTTGTAACAACCTAGATTTTAAAATAAAACTTTAGAAGACCCAGAAATAGTATATGTCACCTAGGCTGACTTAAAATTAAAATGCATAGCCCTGGCCAATTTTGCTCAGTGGTTAGAGTGTCAGCCTGACCGAAGAGTTGTGGTTTCAATTCTGGTGAAGGGCATGTATGTTGGTTGCAGTTTGATCCATGGTTGGGGTCATGCGGGGGAGGGCTAACAATCAACATGTCTCACATTGATGTTTCTCTCTCTTTCTCTTCCCCTCTCCCTCCTTCCCACTCTCTCTGAAAATCAATGGAAAAATATCCGTGGGTGAGGATTAAAAAATAAAATTAAAATGCATAATGCATTTTGTTTTTTAATATTGTTTACTGAATTTTTAATGAAAATGAAATATTTTTGTTATGCTTATTTCTATATGGTCTCATCAGTCTAACATATTGGTGAGTAACAAACCACCCCAGACCTTAGTAGCTTAAAATAGCTATTTTATTACATCTTACAATTTTATTTGCTGAGAATCTAGGAAGGATTCTGGGTGATTTTCTGCTCCACATTGCATTAACTAGAATCAGTTGGTTATAACCTGTTGCTTGCTGATCTGGTCTGGAGAGTACCAGACAGCATAATTCAAAGGCAGGTCAGGTACCTTGGAAAGGTTGACTGGAAGGCTGGGCTCAGGTGGAACCCTCCCCTCCATGTAGACTCAGGACCTCTTCATGTGCTAGTTAGGTTTTTTCCATGAAACTTATCCTTCCAAGGGCATTTGTTTCAAGAGAGAGGAAGTAGAGTGACAGTTTTTTATGTCTTAAGCCTGGAAACTGGTGCAGTGTCACTTCAGCCAAATTCTGTTGTTCATCCAACAGAATTAAGCCCTTCCCCCTCAATGCAAGGAGAGGAACATACCTTTCAATGTGAGGAGTAGCAGAGTTAGTTGCCATCTTTTATCTACCACAGACATCCAAGAGAGATCATATTATAAGCAACAAAATACTGCAATTGGAAAATTATATCCCTGGTGGTATTGCTATTAATTTAGTTTGGTGACTGTCTCTTATACAAGCAAACCTGGAAGGTTGGGGGAATACTCTGCAGACTTCAGAATAAAGTCATCATCTAGGATCATTTTAGAAAATTCAGATTAATGCCAATTTGATATAGAAAGTGATTTTCTTAGAGTTGAATCGTACATTAAAATATTTAGTATAATGATAACCTAAAACTGAGAGGCTCTAGAAAGTTTGTAACATAAGGGCTCTTGCCTGTTTGAATTGGCCCTAATTATTATAATGTGTGTTTTGTGATGAGCTCAGTTCCACCTCCCTATGGCTTTTTGGAATTGCACAAACTATTGACTCCCTCTTTTATGTGACAACCCTTCATATATTTGAAGTACCCTCTTGTGTCACAATCTTCTTCATTCCTTCATATATCTTACCTGTATTCTTCAGTTGTTCCTAATTCATGTAGTTTCATAAAACATCTTTAACCTGGTCATTTATAGGGTTTCTCTAACAGTTTCTGACCTTCTGCTCCTCAATCATGCTCTGCATTTCTAGCTTCATAGTACTCATCTTTATGATCCTCTTGCCTCTTCAGATCTCTTTTCACATTTTATTTCTGTTCTCATGAATATAATTTCCTTCCTCAAATCTTTTTCCTTTCTCCTTTAGTAGATGTGGTGTTTCCTCAAAAAATTAAAAGTGAAACTGCCATTTGACCCAGTGATCTCACTTCTAGGAATATATCATAAGAAGCCTGAAACACCAGTCAGAAAGAATATATGTACCCCTATGTTCATAGCAGCACTATCTCTAATAGCTAAGATCTGGAAACAGCCCAAGTATCCATCAGTAGATGAGTGGATAAAAAAGTTGTGGTACATTTACACAATGGAACACTATGCAGCTGTAAGAAAGATCTCTTACCCTTTGAGAAGACATGGAGGTACCTGGAAAGTATTATGCTGAGTGAAATAAGCCAATCAGAGAAAAACAAATATCACATGATCTCACTTATTTGTGGAACATAATGAACAAAATAAGCTGTCCACCAAAATAGATCCAGAGTCATGAAAGTAGGGAACAGACTGACAAACCTCAGAGGGATGGGGGTGGGAGGGGTAGGAAGGGTGGGAAGAGATAAAGCAAAGATATTATATGCATATATGCACAACCAATCGACAGGGACACTAGGCTGGGGAAGGCTGGTGGTGGGTGGGAGCAGCAATGAGGGGGTTAATGGGGAAAAAAGGGGACATCTGTGTTACTTTCAACAATAAAAACAGAGCAACTTGGCTTTGTTACTCACAGTTGTTAAGCAACTCTGTCACAAACAGAGCACATTTTAAAAGTCTCAAGAAGAATGTCTTCTATATGTAATTTCCTTACTCTCTTCATAAATTTTCTGTCATCCTTGCCCAGGGCCCATGCTAATCTTCTCTGTATCATTTAAATTACAGTGTATGTGCTGCTGAAGCGAGCACTCCTTATAAATAAGTCTGTGGCTGCCTTGTCACTATTTCTATACATTGACTCACCTCTTAGCCAGGGATCATTGAGATTCCTGTTTCATTCTTCATGTTTTTCTCTTCTTTTTTAATGTTTTGTAATTGATTCTTTAGAGAGGAAGGGAGAGAGATAGAAACATCAATATGAGAGAGAAACATCAATTGGCTGCCTCCTGCACACTGCCCACTGGGGATTGAGCTGGAAACCTGAGCATATGCCCTGACCAGGAATTGAACTGGGACCTCTCAGTCTATGTGACGATGCGTAGTCCACTGGCTGGGCTCCTTTTTCATGTTTTCACCATCATCTTCTAATATGTGAGGTTCCAACTTTTAGGAGTACATAACTGATTTGTCCTCTTATGATCAAATCTAGCCCCTTCTTAGTAAACATATATCCTCAGAAAAGCTTTTGCTAATAATATTACAGTGTTTTTAACTTTTTTCACATACTTTTTAAGGACATGACTTTACAGAAATCTTTTTATTGTATAGGCCTTCTGGAGAATGCTGGCTTTAATTCCTTTAGCATAAAAAATAAAACATGATTTAAGAGAGAGCTATTTAAATCAACCTTGATTTTAAAAATGGATTTCTTCTCAAATTATGAAGAGTAATGATTCTCTTTGTGTAAAAGTAGTTATTGAAACAAATGGCACACATGCACATAGGTCTTATGTGCAATAGTTAATGCTTGTACTTCCATTAATGAGGTTTTACAAATAATTTACCAAGACTCTCAAACCACAACAAAGGAGAAAATAGTGATAAGTAACTTTGAGAAGAATTGGGTAAATTGTTAAAAAAATCTCTACAAGTCACACTGATGTGCTAACTACTGATGCTTTGATGTTATTTTTTGTTAGGTATGCTATCGAGTAGTCATGCAACTTTGTGGACTTTGGGGTCATCCTGTTTTAGCAGTGAGAGTGTTATTTGAAATGAAAACTGCTAATATAAAGCCAAATGCTATTACTTATGGTTATTATAATAAGGTAAGTAGGATTGACATTGGGCAATATATGCTGTGTATTAAGACTGATAATTTTTTATATATTTTTTTAGAGGTTTTATGTATTATATGTGTATGTATATTTTTAGAAGTCAAATATATCTAATCATTACTTTTACTTTTATTTTATCTTTAGGTTGTTTTGGAGAGCCCGTGGCCCAGCAGTACCCGCAGTGGTATCTTCTTATGGACGAAGGTACGGAATGTGGTACATGGCTTGGCACAATTTAGGCAGCCGCTTAAAAAGACCGTGCAAAAGTCACATTTCTCCTCAATATCAGGTAATACATGTGATTGGAAAGATACTTTCTTGCTGAACCATAAACTTTATAGGTATATGAATTTTAATTATATGAAGTAGAAAACTTAAATTCTGGTTGATTTTTTTATATACAACTAAAGACAGGTATTACTCCAAAATTCCCACCCCCCACACATTTAGGAAATGTTCTGCAACTTTAAATGAACTATGGGTCATTGATGTTTAGTTTCAGAGATTATAAGTGCATGAATTATTGAACTGCTGTTGTCCTTATCTTTAGCTCCTCAGAATGCCACAGGTGGAAGTGATGGGGACACGGTGAGCCACGGTAGCGTGGATAGTTCTAATGATGCTAACAATGGGGAGCACACAGTCTTCGTCAGAGATTTAATCAGTCTTGATTCCATTGATAATCACTCTAGCACAGGTACTAAATCTGGATTTTACTAACCCTTCACTTACTCTCATGTCAAGCCTTTTTTTTTTTTTAAAAAGCATTTACACCCCTCTCAAGTTCATGCAATATGAGTACTTTAAAAATACTGTATATACATAAGGGAAGAAATTACACCTTTGATTGCTGCTCACTTCTCTTTATTTTCTATAGTTAACTTTGGAGTGCTGTGCAAAAGGCTCTAGCATGGAATATTTTTGTATTTTTTCATAATTCATTTGGGAAAGTATATGGAATAATTGTTAGGAAATGTGGGCTGAGGAAATGAATACAGTGATACCTCGGTTCTCGAACATAATTCGTTCCAGGAGGACGGTCGAGAACCAAATTGTTCGAGAACCGAAGCAATGAAACCCAATAGGAAATCATGGAAACTGGATTAATTCGTTCCAAGCCCCAGAAAATGCCTATTTACTGGCCTAATTTGTATATAATATGTAGAAAAACATAAGTCTCAACAAGAAATAAAAGTGTACAGTATGTCTAAGGGTTAAATTCAGTGTAAAGCGTGACTCTCTCCACAAAGAGTGACTCTCTCTCTGCACTCACACTGATAACGCAAGCAAGGCGCGCTGGGCCGAATGAACGCCATTCGGCTCAACTCGGCTCATCTCGGAAGTTCGAGTTCCAAATATTTGTTCGGATTCCGAGACAAAAGTTTCTCGAATCTCCTGGTCGAATACTGATTTGGTCGAAATCCGAGGCGTTCGAGAACCGAGGTATCACTGTATTAGTGACAAAACTTGCAAAACTTTTTTTTTTCATTAAGTGGGAAATACTTATTACAGATTTGAGATTATGAATATTAAAGAGGGAAGAAAATAAGTTACACATCATAATAAAAAGTATTCTCTTTGCATAGTTATTACCTTAAATGACACTTTTTAAAATCTGAGAAATTACTAAAGCTACTTTTACATACAAAGCTATGGTCATAACCTCTGTCCTCTGAAGGTAGAATTAAGCATAATTAAAGGAGCACATTGAGCGATATATGTGTGTTGCACATTCTTCTTCTTGTTTGTTTTTCTTTTATGTTGTTGTTAATATCTCAGGCTTTTCTTTAAAAAGAATTCTGAGTCTAATTCCTGTGCTTCATTTGATGATCTTGTCTCAATGACTGAAGTTTCCTTTTCTCTGCTCTTCGTTGCTCTGCTTGTTGCTCTGTGCTGTTCCTTGGTGCTGCATCTGTCCTTCGCTGCCATGGTGTGGGGGTGCAGACAGACTTGTGTGACGTGAAGCTATGGGTGCACGTGTGCGTTAATTCTACCCTTGAATGTTAACCACTTCAGGTAATTTCCCATTTATTAGGTTAAATTTTGCTGACATGCAAGGGTGGGGAGAGATCTTTTGTTGTATTTTTAGTCTTATTACCAGTGGAAAGCAATTTTACTTTTCCTGGCTTTTTCTCCTTCAGATAAGTGTGATCATATATATACTACTGAACATATACACCTAACATTTGATGATCAATTTGTAAGCATATTCATTATCTTATTTGAAAATATACTATGCCTTACTATAATTCTTGTTTTGAGGTTGGTTTATAGCATTATTGTGTCCAGTAGTTTTTTAGGCATTAAAGTTTTCAGTGTTCCAGCTGTTGAGGTGGGTTTTGCTTGCTAAAATTGATCTGAATTCTTATGCTTAAAAACTACTCCTAGCCCTGGCCGGTTAGGCTCAACGGTTAGAGTGTCGGCCTGTGGACTGGAGAGTTCCAGGTTCAGTTCCTGCTAAGGGCATGTACCTTTGGTTACAGTTCGTCCCTGGCCTGGTTGGGGTCGTGTGGGTGGCAACCAGTCGAAGTGTCTCTCTCACATGGATGCCCCCCCCCTGCTGTATCTGAAGATAAAAAATTTCCTCGGGTGAGGATAAAACAAAAACAGAAAAAAAAACTACTCCTATAATTACAGAAGCATGTATAAATCATTGAAAGTCAATACAAGCCCAGCTGGTGTGGCTCAGTGGATTGAGCATCATTCCATGGACTGAGAAGTCCGGGTTCAATTTCTGGTCAGGGCACTTGCCTGAATTGCAGACTCAATCCCCAGTAGGGGGAGTGAAGGAGACAGCTGATCGATATTTCTCTCTCACACATGGATGTTTCTCTCTCTCTCTCTAAAAAATCAGTAATAAAAAAAAAAAGTCAACATAAGGCTATGTTACAATCCTGTTTGTAAATTAACTTTCTGTTATTTCCTCCTGTATTTTTCCTAATACTTATAAATGAAATGGACTTCACTTATGAAATACTAAGAAAATAATTTTGTGGTGTGAATCATTCACCAGGAATAATAATAATAATCTCCTTATCCCTCTAGATTTTTAACTTGTGTCCTTTAATAGAAAAAATCTCCTAGTAATCCTGGGTAATTGGCATAAAGAATCTGGTAGTTGGGGAAGAAACTTCAGATCCATTTTCCATATATTTCTTTTCAGCTGCATTTCAAATGGCTGAAACCCCAGTATTGAATTTATAGTGATTATATACCTCTGTAGAGTTTCTGGTGATGTCATTTGATACTTATAGAGACTTGTAGCCCAGAGGCTTAAGTTACTCTTTTCATTAAGGATTATCTTGTAGAATCTTTCCACTTGGTACCTGATACTGAGTCACTTAGCTTGTTGGGAGCATATCTGGGTTTAATCAGTTTACTCAGTTTCCAGTCTGGTGTCCTTTCATGGCATCACAGTGCTTTACCAGCCTTTTGATGGGAGTGGGGTGGGGTGGGGTGGGGTGGGGGTGATAAAAACGTGACTGAAGTTACTCATTTTAATAGCAGCATTTAAAGAAGTTTAATTCTTTTGTTATATATATGGAAAACCCAACATTTGAGTGGCAGTGTAAGAAGTGGTAGTAGGAATTATAAGACACTATAATTTTTATTTTATGTGTTTTTCATTGATGTCCTTTATAAAAGGATTGTCCAGTAACTGGTCTTAGTTTTTGTTTTAAATTATATAAGTTTAAAGCCAAAATAGACTTTTAAAAAACTTCATTTTGAAATAATTACAAATTTACAGAAATGTTGCAAGAATAATAGAGAACTCCTGAATAACTTATTTGGATTTATTCACTTTTAGTTTGCCACATTTGCATTATTGTTTTCTTTCTATACACATTTGCACATTATTATTATTTTTTTTTCTAAGTCATGTGAGAGAAGGTTGCATACATCTTCTTGCCCTGTTACTTGTTAATGCTTCAGTGGTATTTTCTCTTACATAATCACAGTATAGTTACCAAA